TATAGGCATCTTTTTATGTAGTCTACATATTTTAAGTGGGGACTGGTTAATTTTTGTTTTCTGTTTTTATTTGAAATAGCATTTTTGTTATATGAAAAGGAAATGCCAGACGGATTAAAGACGGGATGTACAAATTGAAGTCTTTTTTGTAAATATGTGTGCTGTCTCAGGGTAGAGACCCCTGTTCTGAGTATGGCCCCAGAGCCAGAAGACAGAAGGGAAACGCCTGGCTCTTCCCGTGGCCAAACAGAAACAAGAAACATGTAGAAAGCTGGGAAGACAAACCACAAACTGGAACAGCATTCCTCACATGCCAGGGCCAGAGAAAGGTTTGACACCCCTGAGGTCCCCCAGATCTTGAAAGTCAATGTTTTAAAAAGGGACAGAGAACAAACACGTACAGTTCCAACAAGAGACCATACACGTGGTCGGTACAGGTCAGAGACACTTGACCTCCCAATGAGGACACGCAGATGTAAACACTGTAGAGACGGCGTTGTCAGCACCACACTGACAGGTTTCTAGTCTGGTGGCGACCAGCCCTGGGGACAGTGTGAGGAAGCAGAGGCCCAGCAGGTCCTCTAGAGGGAAGCGTGGAAGGACACTCCTCTCTGGGAGAACAGTGTGCAGGACCCCAAAGCTCCACAGGTGCAACCCTTTACCTGCAGAGCTAATCCCAGGAGTTTAACCACAGGAATTCTTGCACAATTTTTCTTTTCTTTTTTTAAATTTATTTATTTATTTATTTATTTATTTATTTATTTATTTTTGGCTGCACTGGGTCTTCGTTGCTGCACGTGGGCTCTCTCTAGTTGCGGCGAGCGGGGGCTGCTCTTCATTGTGGTGCACGGGCTCTAGGTGCACGGGCTTCAGCACTTGTGGCATGCAGGCTCAGTAGTTGTGGCTCACGGGCTCTAAAGCTCAGACTCAGTAGTTGTGGTGCACGGGCTTAGTTGCTCCATGGCATGTGGGATCTTCCCGGACCAGGGCTCAAACCTGTGTCCTCTGCCTTGGCAGATGGATTCTTAACCACTGCGCCACCAGGGAAGTCCCTACGCGTTATTCTTATTTATATGGTCAATTTTAGAACCAAATGGTCCGGTAAGAAATATGGTTGATATTTTAATGGAATTGCATTTATAGCTTGACTTAGGGAGAACGGACATCTTTCTGGAATGCTCTATCCATAATTATATCTTTCCTTTGTTTATGTCTTTTGTTGAATCCTCAGGAGTGTAAAATTTTTTTTCATAATGAGTTTTTGTAATAATTATTAAATTTATTGTTAAAAATAATTTTGAAATTGATCAGTCTTGATAGTCTCAATAGAAACCATCTTACAATTTTTCTCATAATCTATTACTATGATTACTTTTATCAATAGATTTACAAATATGAAAACTTCTTACAATCCTAGAATCAGTATCTGTGTATTACCCTTTAAAAGTGTTGTTGGGGGCTTCCCTGGTGGCACAGTGGTTGAGAGTCCGCCTGCCGATGCGGGGGACACGGGTTCGTGCCCCAGTCCGGGAAGATCCCACATGCTGCGGAGCGGCTGGGCCCGTGAGCCGTGGCCGCTGAGCCTGCGAGTCCAGAGCCTGTGCTCCGCAGCGGGAGAGGCCACAACAGTGAGAGGCCCGCGCACTGCAAAACAAAACAAAACAAAACAAACAAACAAACAAAAAAAAGTGTTGTTGGGTTCTGTTTGATAATATTTTAGTTAGTATTTTTACATTGATACTAAAAAATGAGATTGGTCTATAACTTAATTGTCAGGGTTTGAAAATAAAGTCCTAACTTCATAAAAATGATGGGAAGTTTCCTCAATTTTCTAGCTTTCAAACTAACTGTTCCTTAAAGTTGTGCTAGATTTTCACTGTAAAACTGCCTGGAAGTGGTGTTTTTGGGGGGAGAAAATAGCTCTTTAATAATTTATTTTTTCTAGGTTTTCTACGAAATTAGTCCATTAACATAACTCTTTCACTGTCCGGTTGAGTAACTTATATTTTCCTAGAAAATTACCTATTTCATGGAAATTTTCCTTTCTTCCCATGGGGTTAAGTAAACCTTTTTCTTTCTAATGGTTTTTTACTTCCTTCTCCTTTTGTGGTTATTTTCACAATAGCATTTATTGTTTTGTGTATTCTTCCTTTTTTAATTAGGTTACCTAATGGTATATCTATTTTATTGATAGCTTTGAAGAATTACCACGTAATCAAGTATATCATTCTTCTGTTTTCTAATTCAGTAATTTCTGCTTTTATATTTGCAACTTTTTCCTTATTCTCTCATGTTTATTTTGTGTTTTCCCCCTAATTTTTCAGTGGTATGGCTAATTAATTCCTTTTCATTCTTTTTGTTTATTGAAATTATTTTTAGGACAGTAGGTTCTCCTGCTTTGCCTGGTTCCCCCAGATTCTGATATGCTATGTTTTCCTTTTGATTTCCTAATATTCTTCAATTTTTCTCTTTTAACTCAAGAGTTGCACTGCAACCCTTCACCTTCTTGCAGTAAAAAGGAACCATAGAATAGTCTAGCTCATAAAGAGGGGAGCTTCTGGCTTTGATCACACTAAAACATGAGTTGCAGCATCAGAAAGTGTCCCTTTGCCTGGATCGTCCTCTGTGTGTCGAGTCCATCTGGTGGGGGAGGGAAGCTGGGGGGGACAACACGGACGTGTGTTCAGGACTCCGAGTCCCACTTTGACTCTGTGTGTAAATTTATATCAGCACCACCTCAAAGCCGTAATTACCACCTGCAACCCGGAGAACTAGGGTTCACCTCTTTCCTGCCTTACTCGGTTGATTATGAGACTTAGCTGCCTCTCTGCCTTCACTTGGGATTGTTGGCAAGTCCCAGATGGAGCTAAAAACCGAGCCAGTGAGACACAAGGACCCATTGTGAGGAACTGCCTGAGGGGTCTGCAGAGCCTGGCAGGCACAGGGCTCACCCTGGGCTCAGGTGGATGGCCCCACACCAGGACTAGGAAGGCCCTGGGAGGAGGAAGTGATGTTCTGTTCCAGAGCCAGCTTCCGGCTGACCTGGCTCAAGACCAACCTTGGCCACTAACAACGGGTGTATTTAGGTCATGTACTTGGTACTATGTATCTCATTCCTGTCACCTCTGTGAGAGGCAAAAGTGACAATGGACATGAAAGCATCTTGGAAAATCAGAGGGATCATGAGAATGAGAAGCTAAATGGCCCATCCAATATGAGTTAAGGAAGCCATTCATCCATGTAACCCCCCACGCATCCATGCATCCATCCATCTACCAATCCATCCATCTACCACCCATCCATCCATCCATCCACCCAACCATCCACCCATCCATCCATCCATCCATCTACCCATCCAGCCACCCATCCATCCATCCATGCTTCCACCCACCCATCCATCCACCCATCCATCCACTCATCCATCCACCCATCCATCCACCCATCCATCCACCCCTGCATCCACCCACCCATCCATCCACCCATCCATCCACCCATCCATCCATCCATGCTTCCACCCATCAACCCACCCACCCATCCATCCATCCATCGACCCATCCAGCCACCCATCCATCCATCCATGCTTCCACCCATCAACCCACCCACCCATCCATCCATCCATCGACCCATCCAGCCACCCATCCATCCATCCATGCTTCCACCCATCAACCCACCCACCCATCCATCCATCCATCGACCCATCCAGCCACCCATCCATCCATCCATGCTTCCACCCATCCATCCATCCACCCATCCACCCACCCATCCATCCATCCACTCATCCATCCATCCATCCACCTATCCACCCACCCATCCATCCATCCACCCATCCATCCATCCATCCATCCATCCACCCATCCATCCATCCATCCATCCATCCACCTATCCACCCAACCATCCATCCCTTCATCCATCCATCCACCCATCCACCCACCTATCCACCCATCCATCCATCCACCTATCCACCCACCCATCCATCCCCTCATCCATCCAGACTGTGCGTTGTTTTAATCCACCAATAGGAACCCCCCAGGGCTGCCCCTCCCCACTCACATAAGCCTTCCGCAGCCTCACTTGCCTCAGTCTCTGCTTCTTGCCTCTCAGGGTTGACTCTCACCTGGGGGGCAGTGTACACCCTGCTCCAGCAATCCTGAAGCAGGCCTTGCCCAAAGATGGGGCTCCAGACTCCTAGAGGTCCCAATCATAGCAGAAGAGATGGAAGCAGAGCTGGATCCTGGACAGGCTCGGGGGGTGAAGGAGGCAGCTGCCCACGCTTGGGACACCTAGAGCCGGCCTGAGGGGGTGGCACTGGGAAGGGGAACAAGGGCCGTGGGGGTTGTACCAGAGCCATGTGGGCACCCCAGCCCTTCCCACAGATGACGACACGGGGGCAAGATGGTGGTGGGGGTCCTTGTGCCGCCCCCTCATGGAGCACACGGCAGCCCAGGGTGTGTACACTCAGATGGTTGTGTGAACTGGGTGCACACACACGGGGACAGCTTGTGCAGGGGACCCGTCAGGAGTGTGGTGATATGAGCCCCCAGTGTGGGGCAGAGGGCCACCCCCTGGCGCATGTCCCTGGGTCATGGCTGGCATGGGGCTCTCCAGACCCCGGCCGACCCACGGGCCCGCCCTCCAGGACACAGCTGTCCTCAGTACTGGCTCTGACCTGTCCTTGTCCAAAAGCCTGACCCAGGAAGTGTTCCTGATGCTGGCAGCCAGCATGGACCCGCACCCTAGACCCTTCCTGCCTGGGGCCAAGCAGGAACCGTCCAGGCCTAGGGACACAGGGCACCTTCCTACTTGGCCTCAGATGGAAGTCAGTGACACTGTCACAGAAAGCGGGCCTCAGGCTGTCCTGGAAGACAGTGTCTTCGTGGCCCCATGGATGAGTCACAGGGCATTCGGGGAACCGCATGGTCTCCTCCTGTATAAGGCCCCAAGCCCTCTGCCTCGGACTTCCCTTCTCTCCAGAGCTCAGAAGTGCAACCACAGCTGCAGCCATGAAGAGTCTCCTGCTCGCCCTGGGCTTGGCCCTCGTGTGTGGCGCCCAGGCTGTCCACATTCCCAATAAGGTGGAGGGTCTGGACATAAGAGAGGTATGGGGGTGGGCCCCCGGGGCTGGGGTCAGGGGCTGAGAGGGCGCAGGAAAGCCTGGACCGCAGAAGTCTAACACGGGTCAAAATGAGGCCACAGCATTGGGGGAGCACTTCATCCCCCAGATGTTGGAGGGACTTGTCTCTCTCCAGCCACTTGGTTCCCAGACGCTCCTGTTTCCCTCTCCCTCCCGGGGTGGAGTCGTCCTCGAAGTTGCCACACCTGGATGGGGGCTGACTTAGGACTGTGCTGGGGGTTGTTCCAAATATGCAAGAACTCCCCACTCAGGTGTCATCACAGAGTTGGTGATCCCCAAGTGCACCTGGAACCCTAGCACATCATGCTTCCTGAGAAACCTGGGCACATAGGAGACTTGGTGTGGCCCAGTTGAGGCGGGACTGAGAGCCCACTGTGGGGCTAGGGCCCCCTTCCCGGAGTGCAGCTCAAGACCCCTCCCCAGGTGGCGGGGACGTGGCACTCCGTGGCCATGGCGGCCAGTGACATCTCCCTCCTGGACGCCGAGAGTGGCCCCCTGAGAGTGAACGTGGAGGAACTGAGGCCCACCCCCCAGGGCGACCTGGAGATCATCCTGCAGAAATGGTGGGTGTGTCCCACCCCCCGTGACATGGCACCACACCTTCCCCGGGGCCGTGGGCCAGCGGGGGCAGCTCCAGGACAGGTGGGCGGTGGGCAGGGCTCCAGGTGGGCCCCGGCTGCACTGTGGGTGGGGCCGGGGAAACAGGGCTTGGAGGTTCTTGGTCCCCTTGGAGCCCCGCCCGGGGGCTGTGGGGCAAGAGGCCGCTACACAGAGCGGCCCCGGGGTCAGTGTGGGGAGAGGCCTGTGTGGAGACCACTGGGCAGCTGCAGGCTTGGGTCCTCAGGGCCTGGGCAGTTTCCACCATGAGCCCCACCTGCCCCCAGAGAGGGGGAGCTGGGGTGTCGGGGAATTCTGGGTCATAATGAGACCAGTATTCTTGGAAACACTGTGTCCAAAGCCCCATGCAGACAGGGTCAGTTTTGAGCTGCCACATGCCTTCGGCCACCAGCCAGCTCTCCTGTAGGGTTCCTGGCTGACTCTGTCTGCCCCATTGTCAACTTCCTGAGTCACCTGCTTGGGTCCAAGGAGGGCCGCTCCCACTCAGGCCAACACCTCGTGACGGTGCTTTGGGCGGCCCAGGTGTCCTCCTGCCCTGAGGACACTTCCCGGAGCGCAGCTCCTGTCCCTCTGCAGGGTTTGTGAATGACCCCCACCACCATCTGGCTTTTCAGGGAAAACCAAAAGTGTGTTGAGAAGACCATCCTGGCTCAGAAGACCGAGGACCCTGCTGTATTCAAGGTCGACTGTGAGTGCCCCCAGCCCAGGCCCCATGCTCCCTTGGGGTAACCCCAGCACACGCGGGGCGTCGCCTGATGCTCTGAGATGCTCGCCATCCCGCCATCTGGGCAGCAGGAGTCGGGCTTGAGTGTGTGGCCTCGTCCTGTGCACCAGGCCCTGCTTCTCCCACCCTGCGGAAGGTACTCTCAGGGGGACAAGGCCTGGGATCCCCATGCTTTCCTGCCCCTTCTGCACCCCCTGCTTGGTGTAGATGGAAGGAAGGGGGTATGTGTCCTGTGCACCCGGGGGTGGGTTAGGGCGGGCACACGTTTCTCGGGGGCTCCTTAAAAATATCCAAACAAACCAGACCTGTGGGCAGGCACACTGTGCATTTGCCTTTCCAACCTGGAACCTGCTTCTGGAATATTCCAGGCCTCACCCCCCTCACCCCAGCCCTGGCAGCCTCCCTGGGACACATCCCTGGGCCCCCAGATCTAGCCCCACCCCCAGGGCCCACCAGCCCCGTCTCCAATCCACAATCTGTTGTTTGTCACGTCCTCTTTCTGAGAGGCAGTGGGTGGGGTGGGGACAGTCTCATCCCCAGAAGCTGCCCTGCCACGTCTGGGCCCAGCAGCAGATGGGGGCAGGGAGCCACCTAGCCCCACGCCCGAGGTTCTCATTCCTCACCTGCAGGGCCTCAGGTCTACCTGGGAAATCGGCAGGACTCTCCAAAGAACCTTCCCTCCATCGCCATCATGTTGCTCCAAATCCAGCCAGGACAAGGACCCCGAGGGTGGGGGGGTCTCCACTTTCTCCCCCTGAAAGACAGAGGCATCGCTACCCTTCCTCTTGAAATATCGTCCCTTCTTTCTTCCACTCTTTGGTGTCCGCGTATAACCCCAGACTCCAGTGGGGCTCCAATCCTGGCATCTTTTTGATCGCTCACAGACCTGGGAGCCTGCCCTATCGAGTGGGGGCTACCTGGGATTTAGTGCCTGGGGATGTGGATGAATAAGTGACTGAATTAATGCCACGTCCAGGACATAGGGGAGCAGAGTTTGGCCAAGCGGGCAGTAAACGGCTTCACTGTAGCATCAACATTTAAGAGCTGTTTCCAGTCTCGGCCTGAGTGCGGAACGGGCTGGTCTCACCCAGACGGTGCGGCTCGGAGAGTCCCCACTGGGGGTCCATAAAACTTGTGCTGCCGGTGGTGGGCTTCTGGCACCCAGTAGGGAGGGCATCCCCTCGGTGTCTGGGAGCAGATATTCCGAGCCCGGTGGCTGCCG